CCCCGGCCCCCCCCCCCCCCCCGCCCTGCCATTGTGTTGCCCCAGGGTCTGCCTCTCTCTGCTTTGGGTAGCAGGTGGCTGCTTTTCAGAGCAGGCTCTGCTGCCTCCCCCTTTGTTCCCAGCTTGGTGGCTCTTGGTAGTAGCCACACAGGATGTGTGTTCGGTGTGGGTGGTTTTTTTGTTTTTCTCGACAAATGTTTAGGCAGTGTGTTCGGTATTTTTTGGGAGACCATCTGGCAACCCTACTTACAGATACTGTTAATTGCAACCCTCACCCCTGCATACACACACCTACCTTAAGGTCTCCTCCAAGGAGGGGTGGGTTGTGTTAGAACAATACCTGTAAGAAATTTAAGTTACTTTCATCCCTGTGTGGCAGATATTAAATTAATATGCAACACTGATAACTGATGATATAGTCTTTTATATTGCATGTGTGACTTCAAAGCAGCAGTTCCTCAAAGGAAAAGAACTGAACATCAATAGGAGAATCAAACACAACTCTTTCTTAGAACCTGATTCTTATGGTCCCTTAAAAACACATTAGGGGCCCAATGAACCTTTTATAGACCCCATAGCAAACATGTTTGTGGGCCTATAGGGGCAACATGGCATGCACAAAGAAGCAAGTCCCCAGAGCAAGGGTCAAGCTGGGGGCAATAGCATGGCAGGAGCAGTCTGTTTAAAAGGGCACTGTTTGCAAACTGGCAGCTGCAAGATGCACACAGGCCTGCACGGCCCTGTGCTGCCAGTGTGTCCCTTTCCCTCAGGGCGGGGCCATGCCAACTGCCACCCTGCCCTGCCCCTCCCCAACCAGACACCTCCCCCACAGATCCGTGTGCTCAGCAAACACAAACACACCACTGAGATCACCACAGACCTTCTATGCCAGGAGTCTCAAGCTCCTGGCCCACGGGCTAGTCCTGGCTGGAATAATTGTGCAATTGGAGGGTCCAGCACACTCTGCTTCCCCACGGCTCCTGCCACTGCAAGGACTGTGTGGGCACGACCACTGCTGCCGCATGGTGCCAGGCCCCTGGGTGATCTCCAGTGCTGTGTGCTTGGGGGGGACAGTGCCAAGGATAAGAAGAGGCAGGGCTTGGGTGCTGGTAACAGACAGGCCCCTGGGCCTGCTGGGAGCCTTGAGCTGGATTGCACAATCACACTGGCTGGGACTGAAACTCATAGCTTGTGGGAAAGATCCCTGCCCTATGACCAGACCCCCCAGCCCAAAGACTCCCCCACTGACACCAATGCTCAGTGCCCATTCAGCCCCACGATGCGCAGTGCCCCACTTCCCAGAGACCCCTGCCACAATTGTACAGAGCCTCACAGACCCCTCACTGCCCCACACACACCCACTGCTCATGCCCTGCCCCTGGAGGCACTCACCGGCCCAACATGGAGGCCATGTCAACTGGGCTCAATCAGCAACATGTCTGGGGCCAGTCTCAAAGCAGGAATTGTTCCAACCCCTTAGGAGTAGTGCAGACAGGCCAGAGCAGGAACGAGACCTGCCCAGGCCAGGCTCCCTTAGCACCCACTTACCTGGCAGGGCTCTGCCTTGCCCCTGCACTCCCCCCACATGCTGGCCAAAATCTGCCCAGCATCTGCACCAGTCCCAGGCGGCTCTGCCCCAGGGACCTGCAGGTGGAAGGTAGCAGAACTGTTCAGAGCTGGAGCCACACAGAGGAGTGGCTGGGGAGCCACTCCCAAGAGCCCTCCCAGCCCAACCACACCTACTGACCCCCATGCCAGCACCCCTGCTGAGCCCGCATGGCAGAGCCTGGCTAGTTCCCCACAGGTGAGCAGGGCCTGCTGACTGGTAGCCACTAACTCAGAAAGGCCTGGGCACTGGACTGCACAGATGAGAGGGGCCAGACCCAAGCATGTGGCTGGATTAGAAGGGTCCATAATGGGACTCTTCCCAGTGTGGGCTCAGTGTCATAGCAACATTGTAAACTTGGAATTGAACACACCCCAGAAAATGACCTAAGCGAGGGAGGACAGAACGCCTCTCTAGCACAACCTACGCCCAGGGACAACCGTTGCCACTACTCCACACAACAGCCTCATTTTTATAGATGCACAGAATCTAAGGCCAGAAGGGCCCACTGCGATCATCTGGTCTGCAAGGTTCCCGCTAAGCCAGTGTTTCTTAAACTTTTTAAGACCGAGGAACACCAAACAATTTTTTTTTTTATGAGGAACACCAAAGATTTGTTTGTTGAGCAAAACAACACAAAACAAAAGTCAGGGGGAAAGTTATTGAGCAAAAAAAAAATAAATAAAAAGTTGCCCCTTTAAGTGGCCATTTTGAATTCTGTTTTTCTGCACAGCACACCGATATGCCATGGAACACAGTTTAAGAAATACTGCTCTAAGCTGCACAGCAACACAGCCTCACAGCTGCTTAATCAGCCCCGCCCAGCCAGGCAGCTCCCTGCACAGAACCCCAAGCCTTGGCTGATTAAGCAGTTTAGAGGGAACCTTGCTGGTCTGACCTCCTGGATAACACTCTCCATAAAACATCCCCAAGATAATTCCTAGAGGAGCTGTTTTAGAAAAACCTCCAATCTTGATTTAAAATAGATCAGCAATAGAGAATCCATGTGACCTCTGGTAAATTGTTCCAGTGGTTAATTACTCAGGTTTAAAAATTTACATCATTTCCAGTCTGAATTTGCCTAGCTTCAACTTCCAATCATTGGATCGTGTAATACCTTGACTAGAGTGAAGAGCCCGCCATTAAATATTTGTCCCCATGGAGACACGTATAGATTGTAATCAAGTTACCTCTTAGCTTTCTCTCTGTTTAGTAGATGGAGTTCCTTGAGTCTATTCCTGTAAGAGGTTTTCTCATCCTTTAATCATACCTGTCGCTCTTCTCTGAACCCTCTCCAATTTATCAACATCCTTCTTGAATTGTGGGCACCAGAACTGGACTCAGTAATGAAGCAGTGGTCGCACCAGGGTCAAAAAGAGGGAAATCCCTTTTGCAGCACCTCACCAACCAGCAAGCTCAAGACACTGGCATTTCTGATTGACTCATAAAGTCCAATTTATTATGTGAGGCCAGCAGGGGCTGGGACATGGAATGGGCTGTGGCACATGCTCTAGGAGGGAGGTTGGGTCCAAGAGGGGACTTGGGGCAGGATTTAGGATGCAGGAGTTTGGGGTGCTGGATGGGGAGGCGGGGGGGGAGAGACACAGCTCCAGCAGCCCCTGCAAGCATCTCCCTGTCCCTGCTGTTACTGGCAGAGGGGTGGACAGGTGGCTCTGTAGGTATGCTCCCCCCCCCATCCGAGCACTAACTCCACAGCACCCAGCCCATTGGTCAGGAACAGCGGCCAATGGCAGTTGGCTGGGGATGGGCGGGGGGAGAGTGCCTGCAGATGGAGGCAGCATGCCTGCTTCATGCAGCCTGGCTGCAACTCTGCCAGGAACATCAGGGACAGGGAGCTGCTTGCAGGTGCAGCTGCAGCTGAGCTCCCCCCTCCCCCGTCCTCCCATCTCAGCCCCTTGCCAGACACTATCCTCCACCCACGACCTGTGCTTTGCAGCCCCTCCCCCTCACTCCAAACTCTTCCTTTAGTTAATCAGCATTTTTAGTTTATTGGGTCCCCCTCCCCCATTCCTCAGCATATCACATAAAAGGGATTTTACTGCACAGGAGTAAAGTAACCTCTCTACTCATACTCAGTTTATACATCCTAGGACTGCATTTACTCGTTTAGCCATAGTGTCACAGTGGGACACATGTCAACTCATTATCCATATCCACCATGACTCCCCAGTCTTTTTCTGAGTCACTGCTTCCCAGGGGAGACCTCCCCCCGCCCAATGTGTAAGTATGGCCTACATTCTTTGTTCCTAGAGGTACACATTTACATTTAGCTATGTTAAAGTGTATATTGTTTGCTTATGCCCCAGTTCACCAAGCAATCTAGTCCTCTTCAATTAGGGTTGCCAGATGGTTGAACCAAAAATACCGAACATTTCCCCCCCGCGCCAAAAAAAAACACTGGGGAAAAAATTCTGTTGGGGGGGGGGAGGGAAAGGCAGGGACGGGACCAAAGTTGTTGAGAAAAATAAAGGACTCCGAGACTTAAGCTAAATAAATAAATAAATAAATAAATAAAAACAGCATGGCCCCTTTCAGAGTGCGTGCAGAGTCAGAATACGGATAGGAACAGTGGAGAGGTTGAGCACTAAGACTCAGGGAAGCATTGCTTCCCCTTGGTCTTCAGGCTTTTTGCCAGTGGCCATTTTGTGTTCTTGTTCAAGCCAGAACTTAGCTTCCCTGCGGAACAAGGTAAGCATGGAGTCCGGGGGCGGGGGCTGTCTGGGCCCGGGGGGAGACAGGGAGAGCCAGGGGCTGGGCCCCGGCACCAGGGGTGCCAGATGTCTGGTACTTTCGCCTCCTGGCCGGAGGAAAAAAAAAATCAGAAAATACCAGACATTTTAGGTGTCTGGTATTTTCTGAAATTTTTTTTTTTTACCAGAAAGGAGGTGAAAATACTGGACTGTCCGGGTCAATACTGAACACCTGGCAACCCTATCTTCAATTTGTGTGTCATCTGCAAACTTTATCGATGATTTTGTGTTTCCTTCCTGATAAAAATGTTAGATAGCATAGAGCCAAGAACCAACCCCACTAGAAACAGAACCTGCTTGACAACTAGTCCTTGCTGAGTTACATTTGGAAACCTATTAATTTTTAATCCATTTAATGTGTTGCAAGTTAATTTTATATCACTAGTTTTTTAATCAAAATGTTGTATAGTACTAAGTAAAAACATTTTACAGAGGTCTGCTATGTCAATTCTGTTACCTTTATCAACCAAACTTGTACCTCATTTTAAAAAAAAAATCACATTAGTTTGACAGGATCTATTTCCCATAAATCCATGTTGATTTGCATTAATTACATTTACCCTCCTTTAGTTCTTTATCAAGTCCCATATTAGGCACTTCATTACCTTGCTCGAGATTGAGGTCAGGCTTACAGGCCTATAAATTACCTGTTTCATCCTGCCTTCCCTTTTTTTTAAATTGACACATTCGCTTTCTTCCAGCCTTCTGGAATTTCCCAAGTATTCCAAGGATTATTGAAAATTAGCATTAAAAGACCAGCAAGTTTGTAAGCCAGCTTTTTTTGAAACACTTGGACGCAGGTTTATCTGGACTTGCTGATTTTAAAAGCCATTAGTAATTTCTGTTTAACATCCTTTACAGGTACTAGTGGATCAGAAAGTGTTATCACCACCTAACTAGAGAACAGAAATTATTGAACACTTCTGCTTTTTCTGCATTATTCCTGAGATTTCTAACATCTCCATTTAATAATTGACCAATACCATTGTTTGGATTGGTTTTGCTCCTAAGGTGTATAAACACATATTGTCCATAACTATGCTGGTCAGATTTCTCCTTGCACATCTTGGCTTTCCTTATCAATTTTCTATAATTCCTAGCTTGTAAATTATATTCCAGTTTTCCTTTTCTTCCATGTTTTTGTGAATGTATGCAAATATAATTTTTTTACGTCAGCCTTTGTTTCTTCTGAAGTAAGCAATGTTCCTTCTAATTTTTTCCATCCATGTGCAAAATTAATTTTGTTATGTGCACCAAAGCATGTATGGATGTGCAATGACAATAGAAACACATGCTGCCAGCTACTGGTGACTGTGGCTCTGCTAATCAGCTAAGCAGCATATGAATCCCTCCTGGATGGCCACCCAAGCGCACAGCTTACAGGGAACAGTGGCAATAAGGTGTCCTTAAAATGATTCCCAATTATAATTTTAAATGTCTTTTTGTAATAAGAGACAGGATAAATTCTCTGTTTTTCCCTGTTTCTGAGCAGGGTCTGGTCAACACAATTTTTGTTCTTGTACAACCATTTTGCATAGAATCACAAATATATAGCATTAGAAGAGACCACAAGAGGTCATCTACTCTATCCATCTCCCCTACTTCCTTCTGCCCACACTGAGGCAAGATCAAGTATATCAAGAGTCTAGAGACAAGTCTGACGGGATTCCACAACCTCCCGTGGAAGCCTCGTCCAGTGCTTAAATATCCCTACAGTTAGATTTTCCTAATATTAATTCTGAAGTCCTTTGTTAAAGACTATGTCAATTACTGTTTGTCCTACCTTCAGAGGACAAAGCATAATTCATCACTATGCTCTTTATACAGCCCTTAAGATCTTTAAAGAACTCTTCCCTCAATCTCCTTTTCTCAGAATTAAACATCCATTTTTTTTAAACTTTTCTTCGTAGGTCAAGTTTCCTAAACCTCTTATTTTTGTTGTTTTGCTCTGAACTGTCTACAATATCTCCACATCTTTCTTAAAATATAGTACCCAAAACTGGGCATAATTCCAGATGAGGCCTCACCACTGCAAGGTAGACCAGATTAAATACCTCCCGTGTCTTACATACCATGCTCCTGTTAATATATCCCAGATTATTAGCCTTTTTTGCAACTGCATCACATAGTCGTAGTGGATCACAAATTGAATATGAACTCACAATAACCCCCAGATACTTTTCTGAAGCACTACTCTTCAACAGCTATCCCTGAGTTCATACTTGCACATTTGATTTTTCATTTCTAAGTGTAGCACTTTGCAATTGCCTTTACTGACTACATGAATTGTGTAGCTGGAGTCAAGGTAGCATAGATCAACTTCCCTTATTCCTTGTGACCCAATGGAGTACCAGAGTTGACAGGGGCACCATCAGCAGTTGAGTTAGCAGTTCCTTATTAGACCCGCTAAATTGAATCCCAGGTGATCTATCTTTAGAGTGTCAATCTTCCAGTAAGTGGAGATTAACCCTGTGTCAAAAGCCTTTAAGCAAGCTATATCTCTACTATACATGGTCCGTAACTCTGTCAAAGAAGGAAATTAAATGGTATAGCATTATTTGTTCTTGACAAATCCAAGTTAGCAATGTATTGCTCTAATATCCTATAGGTACTTACAACTGATATTTTAATCATTTTGGTTAGAGGTGTGATTTTTTAAATTTATTTTTACTAGCATGGCAGTTACACTGCAATGATAGTGGCTCATAGTAGTAGTATATACACTGGTATAGCTATTCCTGTTTGGGAAGAGAAATAAAAGCACCATTGTATCACTGAAATAGGAGCAGGGGTACCTTTTTCTACCAGTATAGTTAAAATGCTATAATTCGGTGTATGCAGACAAGTCTAGATCTCTTTTCCATACACTGCTAGGTAAAGGGCCCAAAGCAGCTTTACATGGAAATGGGAGAGATTTTTAAATTCAAAGTAATTCACTACAGGGCCACTCTCTTTCTTCATCTGTGCTTAAATCCTCTAAAATAAATTCTTGTTTAGTGTCTGTTACCCCATTTTTAAATTATCAAAGTGAACCCTCAGTGGATCATTCTAAGGCAGAAGTATAGACCTCTGCAGCCTTTTCTCTACTTCACATGCCACCATTCCCCACCCCCCCCAAAATAGAACCAGTCCCTTTGTGTTTTCTCTACATCTTACCTCCATTCAATGGGAGTTGTGTGTATAGTGTTAGCAAAATTAACCAGAATTTAATTCTATCTAAATAAAAAAAAAGAAAAGAGGAAAACACAGTGGTGTGATAAAGCTCTTATAGGCATGTTTAGAAGAGCTCATTACTGACTGAACTATATGTGTCATCTCAAATATGTGCCAATAAAGCCTCACCGCTGGATACTCTGCATCAGACAAGAGATAACGGGCATCACAATTGTCTCTGGGGAAAAAGGGAATGTCCATCTTAGGCCTCATGCCACAATCTCTTATTAGGGGTGAAGAGTGGGGTTTGATGTAAAAAAATCCTGTGTGCTATTTGAACTTTTTCAGGAATTTAGAATATTGGCAGTCCTAGGATGATGAACTAATGGGTATGGGAAGAGGCCAAAGGTGTGCGATAAATTTAATTTATTGCATAACTGTCACCACCTCCCATGTGCTATAAAAAGGTTTAGCTGCCATAAGAGTTGCTTCTTAACCCCAAGTAATTATTTGAGTTCAGAATTTAGAGAAACCAGTGCTGAACGCCATTAACCAAATGAGGCTTCATAGAATCATAGAACTGGAAGAGACCTCAGAAGGTCATCAAGTCCAGCCCCCTGCTCTAGGCAGGACCAGTTCCAACTAAATCAATCTGGCCAGGGCTTTGTCAAGCCGAGACTTAAACACCTCTAGGGATGGAGACTCCACTACTTCCCTAGGTAACCCATTCCAGTGCTTCACCACCCTCCTAGTGAAATAGTTTTCCCTAATATCCAACCTGGACCTCTCCCACCATAACTTGAGACCATTGCTCCTTGTT